AATGCTGATTACTTAACCAAATTAAATCTAAATCCAAATCAAAATTACCCCCAAAAGATGAGAAAATTATTTAAATACACATCACAAAAAGTAGCTTTAGAAAGATTTAATTTATTCAATATGGCATTATGCAAACTTTTAGGCTACAATGGTCATTTTGTTTTCATCTGAATTGGTATTTAGATATTTTCACACCTTTATTGTGTCTCAGAAATGGCATGAATGCATTTCAATTACAATAAAATAATGCAATGAGATTAATGGGTTTTAAATGGGTAGTAAAAGTATAGTTTATTTAAAAATTAAAACTCTCTCATCATTTACTCGCCTTCATGTCGTTTCAAACTTGTATGACTTTGTTCTGTGGAACAAACAATAAGATAATTTCAGAAATGTCTTATTTTCGACCACCACCACCAGCCTGCACAGTGGTTACAAGGCATGATGGATCCATGTTCTCATTCTGTTTACGCCAAATTCTGACTCAAACATCTGAATGTCTCAACAGAAATCAAGACTCATTAGACCAGGCAATATTTTTACAGTCTTTTTATTTTATATTTTTAACTTTTACTTTAATAAAAAAAAGTCCACAAAGTATTTACAAAACGTATATGTCCATTAAAGCTGAAGTGCGTAGTGTTTTCAATGACGGCAATTATGACAATTAAGCACAATTATGTAATAAGATATTAGTTTATTGCTTTTTTCAAATGCAATGACATTTAATTTTATATGTTTTTATCACTATTTTAAAGCAGCCTTTAATATATGTTGATTTTAATTAGAATTAAAAATAAAAAAAATGATATGAGAAAATCACTTTTTGTGAGTATTACAGTCAATCAAACACACACAAAAAATTAAATAAAAAAACCCACCTCAACATTAACTTGTCCAGGTGCGTTAAAGTTATTAAAACTAATTATATAAATTTATCATGTTGTTTTAATATACAAAACTACATTAATTAAAGGCACAACAGACACTTTTATGGTGGATAAAAACTTTGTCAGATGGGCTGTATACAAAGTAAACATACATTAAACATTTTTTTTTTTGATTGTTCTTTGATTTTGGCGCAAATGTAACCTGAACATATTCAACCAACATCCATGAACATCAATTCAATGTACCTAGTTTCTGTGAGATTCACCCCTACGCTTGCAACTTTATTTTATATTGTGATCCATTTTAATCTTTAAAGCTGGCTTGATCTCATTCCGCTCTGTAAATTGATCACAACAGCTTTTAAGCATTAAACCATTGTGCTAAACGCGAGAAAGTGAAGCGAAAAACAAAACCCTGCCTTTCTGACAGCGTTCTGACAGAAAATAGGGCACTTTCATATTTATTTAAGCACTAGGCTCAGATCCAGAGAAATCCTGTGAGAGTTTGAGACAGAATGAGAGAGAGAGAGAGAGAGAGAGAGAGGAAGGAGGACAGCCGCTCATACACAGAGACAAGGGCAGACTGTCATTCAAATACCACAATCACGAGGGAGTGTGTGTACCAGAGAGAGAGACGAAGAAAAAAAACCCACACAGATCACACTGTCACATTTAGATATGACTGAGAGCTGACGGCGGCTTGTGAAACCAAATCAGGCTGAGCATCTCCAACACCCTGATTAAAACATCATGATGTCTGGATTTCACAAATAAACACGATTCATAACAGGAAGAAAAGCCACCCGTCTGTTACTGTAAAGGAAACTAGACTGACATAAAGACTAATTTTTCAATGAACAAAATCCAGAGGGAGTTTGATCTGATGTCAAATATAGATGTCATTTTAGTAAAACATCTGGTTAGCCACTGTGAAGAGTTTCTCTCTCAATGATTCTGATAATTACTCTACTGGCAATTCATTATTTATGGTGATAAAATAATGATTAAAAGCATTTAAACCCAATTAAACTTGAGAGATGAAAAACATCTTGAATACTCTGTTCCAGAATGGTGCGAAAATACTTTACAATATAATACATTTTTGTTGCAATATAATTGCATTTTGTTTTAAGAAACAAATTGTCATGACATCAATTATATATGTGTATATATATATATATTCATTTTAATGTTGACATTAAAATTGGTTCCTCACTTATAACCGTAACGCAAAATAACAACAAATGACTAACTTTATATTGTATTACAGTAATGAAAATTAGTTGTTTTCTTTGCTTTTATCATAATTTTCCCCCTCAAAATGAACATGAACTGCACAAAAAAAGCATAATGCAATTACCACAATAATACAAATACAATAGTAGTATATAAATATATAAAGTACTGACTTAATATAATTTGTCTTAAAGGGATAAGATATTTGTCTTAATTTGTCTTGAAATTTTTTTATATGTTTTAGCTTACCTCAAGGGCACCCAAGATGTAGGCGTCTCTGTTTCCACAGTATTTTCAATTTTGATAATTTTAGGTCAAACCGTTTGTGTCTATCAGTCATATAATGGAGGTCTATGGGGTCCACCTCAAAGAGCATGCACAGAGAAGTCCAAATTAAACATGATTTAATGACTCGTAAATGTAAGTACACATTGATGACCTAAGACATGAAACGAGCGGTTTGTCGTTTTTACCTCTTTTAAATCACAGCCATAAAGCGCCCACACCCTCAGATCACTTGGACGTGGCTGTGATTACAAGAGGTAAAAACGATATAAATACTGTTAGTTTTCTCACACAAACCGCTCGTTTCGTGTCTTAGGCCATCAATGTGTACATATATTTATGAGACATTAAATCATGTTTAATTTGGACTTCTCTGTGCATGCTCTTTGAGGTGGACCCCATAGACCTCCATTATATGACTGACTATAACGGTTTGACCTAAAAATATAAAAATTGAAAATACTGTGTAAACAAAGACACAAACATCTTGAATGCGCTTGAGGTAAGCTAAAACATATCAAAATTAATTTCAAAAAGTGAACTATCCCTTTAGTTTTTAAAAAAATGTGGGCTTAAAATGAACATAACTTTAAAATTAAAGCTGTTGGTAGATTCCAAAAATATTATCAGAAAAATTAATACTGACCCAATCCCAGGACACAAACACAAATAAAAACATTGACATTTCTACATTGATTTGATTGATTTTATTTGTAAGGCACCAGAAGCATTTCCTTACTGCAGAAATTTCCATTTATGTATAGTAAATGTTTATGTACTTTGTTTTAATATGGAATGAAGCTATTTTATAACACAATTATTTTTGCACTGTAGGTTGTACAATATACATAAAATTAGGAATCGAAAAACAAACAAACAAACGAAAAGACTTTTATAATGCACAGAATGCTTACAATGCTTGTAAGAAATGGCAAAAGGCAAGCAATGAATTCTGGGAAGAGAGGGCTGTCGGGGGTTCGAGAAAGAAAGGATGATGGGGCGACAACCTGCTCTCGAGTGCCTCACGAGTTAAGAGTCCTCTAAAACACAGACGTATCATTCAAAACTGACACGAAAGCATTCGTTTGCACATAAAGCTTTAGGTCTATGTATAACGTGCACATACGGTACACCTGCGGCCCACCTTTATAGCAAAACACTTTGCATTTGGCTAGATTTTGAACTACTACTTTCTGTCCTTAAAAAGAAAACGTCAACAGATTAGATTTGAGCATATGTAGCAAGCTACGAGAATAAATCCTGGCACTTCTATCATATATACACTGACAGAATCAAACAGAAAACATTGTACCAATAAACAATGCGAGCAGATTTGTTTTGAAAGCACTACAATATAATCTGGAGGCCTTTCATTTATGTAATTTTATGTTGGCACTACCATAATTTAATTGAAAAGTTTAGAAAGCAGCTTCACTCCTTAATCCCATATGGTTTAAACTAGTGCTGTCAAGTTGATTAATTGGGATTAATAGCATCTAACATAAAAGTTTGTAAATATGTGTGTGTGTATGCTTTTGTGTGTGTGATTTTTATATAGAAAAATCACACACACGTATACATTATATATAACCACTCACCTAAGGATTATTAGGAACAGCATACTAATACTGTGTTTGATGCTCTTTGCCTTCAGAACTGCCTTAATTCTATGTGGCATTAATTCAACAAGGTGCTGAAAGCATTCTTTAGAAATGTTGGCCCATATTGACAGGATAGCATCTTGCAGTTGATGGAGATTTGTGGGATGTAAATCCAGGGCACAAAGCTCCCGTTCCACCACATCCCAAAGATGCTCTATTGGGTTGGGATCTGGTGACTATGGAGGCCATTTTAGTGCAGTGAACTCATTGACATGTTCAAGAGACCGATTTGAAATGATTCAAGCTGCATTATCCTGCTGGAAGTAGCCATCAGAGGATGGGTACATGGTGGCCATAACGGGTCGGACATGGTCAGAAAAAATGCTCAGGTAGGCCGTGGCATTTAAACGATGCCCAATTGGCACTAAGGGGCCTAAAGTGTGCCAAGAAAACATCCCGCACACCATTACACCACCACCACCAGCCTGCACAGTGGTAACAAGGCATGATGGATCCATGTTCTCATTCTGTGAACAGAATGAATGTCTCAACAGAAGACTCATCAGACCAGGCAACATTTTTCCAGTCTTCAACTGTCCAATTTTGGAGAGCTCTTGCAAATTATAGCCTCTTTCCTTTTCACATCATTCTTTGTAAACCCTAGAAATGGTTGTGCGTGAAACCATTTTTTTATACACACACATTATACATTTACAAAGTTTTATGTTAGATGTGATTAATTGCACTAGTTTAAATGTGTCTACAGTTTTGTAAAGCAAACATATGGACAACCCAAATCTAAAGCATCCACCCAACCCCAGTAAAAAGCATAGAGCTAGAAATAAAAGGCGTGTTAAGTCTAGTTTTCATTTCCAGAATAAATGAAATCAAAATTTGATTTTTATTACGACAATCTATGACTCGAATACTGCTATAGCTGCAAATTACAGCTTCAATTAGACACAAAAACAGCTTTTTCTTGATGCAATCTTCTGATTGGATAAATGTTAGACCGGTTATTTATTTTGTGGGCATGTCAAAAGAAGCATATTTCATATCATATGTTTGCAGAAACATACATAGGACACCTAAAATAGCACAACTTCAAACTAAAGTGACCCTGAGGGTCTTAGTGTGGACTTGCTATGGACTTACTGCCCCCTCTTGGTAGAATCTCATACTACAATATCACACTAGGAGAAAGCAAAATAACGATCGCATCCAAGCTTTTACCTTAAGACCACTTAAGAAAGCAATGTGCTAAATTTCTTTTCTCTTTGTTGGGATTATAGATATGATTTCACATACTTCATGTTTCTGTAGTGCGATCAAAACAACGAAAAATAGATGTTTAAAGAAGGTGCTTCTCATTTTTCAAATACCTTTTCTCTTACAACTAAACTTAGAAAGAAAACAACATGACTTTCACCATGTAGACAATCAACATTACTATAAAAGAAGACCAAAAATATATTTTAAACAGCATCCCTTTTCACTTAGTGAGCAGGGTAGCTAGCTTCTCAGAGGATTCGTCTAATATTCTCTGTCTAAGACAGCACAACACAGCTTCCAAACACATCAGAAATCAGGCAAACAGGAATATAGATATACAGTACGTACGTTGAATGGCCTTGTAGAAATGTTCTTTCTTCATTTCAACACTATTCATCACGTCTCGTCAAGCAGTTTAAAAGGACAGTTCACACAAAAATGTCATTTACTCACCCTCATGTTGTTCCAAACCTGTATGACATTCATTCTTCAGTGGAACACAAAAGGAGATGTTTTGAGCAATGTTCAAGCTGCTCTTGTCCACACAATGAAAGTGAATGGTGACCACAACAAACAAACTAAATTTTCAATAAATAACGACTTTTTCAGATAAAAATGGACTAGTTTTATGATGCTTTTTTTCATTTTGGTCCCCATTGACACTCATTGCATGAAAAGGAGCAGCTTTGACATTCCTCAAAACAGTCAAATAGGTTTGAAAACAACAGGAAGATTCAATCATCATTTTTTCACCCTCATGTCGTTCTAAATCTGGATTACTTTCTTCAGCGGAACACAAAAGGAGATGTTTAGAGCTTTCCCATTTAATGAAAGGGAATGGTGACCACAGCTATCAAGCTAAATTTCCAGTTAACGCCTTACGTTTTTACATTTCTCAAACAAATTGCTTCAAAACATGGCCATGTGGCCTAGTTTATTTTTTGGTCCCCATTCATTCTCAAGGAGTAGCATTTCTTCAAATCTTTTCTTCCACAAGATTTGATCATCATTTACTCACTCTCATGTCATCTTTTGAAGTACAAAAGATGTTTTCTGTGGAATACACACTCTTTTCCATACAAAAAAAAATAAATGGTGACACTATCAAGCAACATTTCCAGTGAATAACATCTTCAATTTGAGTTTTACACACAAATGGCTTCAGAACAATTCAAATTTAATACACAAGTCATAGGGACTAGGATTTTTTTTCTCGGTCCCCATTCTTTGTATGGAAAGGAGCAGTGTGAACATTCTTCAAAACATCTCCTTTTGTGTTCCACAGAAGACTGTATAGGTAAAATAATTTTTGAACAACATAAAAATAAAACCTCATTTTTACTTGAACCATCCCTTTAAGGTAGGATAGATTCAACAGTCGTGCCTTCGAGAAATAACACCGATCGTTTAAACTATAAATGGATTATGCTGCGGCTAAGTTTTTAGATGCAAAGTTGCTTTTAGTCTCAGAGTTACTGCCTAGGGCCAAAGTGCTTTTGACTCAGTTATTGTAGATTGTAGCTTTAAAAGGTGAAAGATTTTAAGAGGAGCAGGGGGGAAAAAAACAAAAAGGAATTATTACTGAAGGGTCGATGGTCCATTAACGGTTGCACCATTCTCAAGACCATTTCCACAACTAGCATAAGAAATATACAATTGTATATATATATATATATATATACACACACACACACACGCAGGCAAGAAATAGTGTAAAGATAATCAAATCAAGCATCAGTAACACAATAAAAAGGTGGATTGGTATAAATACATATAGTAAGCTGCGGGAATGAACCAGAACGAATAACGTTAGGCATGTGAACACAGTAGGAATTTAGAGGGAAGATAAAAAAGAAAAAGGGAAACAAGTGCCTCTGCTCTATGTTGAGCTCTGGATGTTGACTGGACGAAGGAACGGGTTTGGCGGCTGGGCAACTAGTCGGACTTGTCTCCGTCTTCCTCGCGGTGGCTGTCGGAGGTCTCGCGTGTGCTCTTGTCCTCCTTGGCCAGCTGGGCTTGAGAGGCCAGGATGCTGGAGAGGGAGAAGAGGCCGGAGCTGGAGGTGACGGCGGGGAGGCCGGCCGGTTGGCTGAGACCCAGAGGGAGAGGGGTCATGGGCAGTGCCAGCCCCTGCAGCTGAGAGAGCTGGTGAGCCTGGAGCTGCTGCTACACAACACACACATACACGGTTGTCACTGCTGGATTTTCTTGAATGAATAATTTTATTTCTTTTCATTTCCTTTTCCTCTTTAGAACATGGTCGTTGATAACAGAGCATATTTAAACAAAAAATAATAAAAACTAAATCTCAGCAAAAGAAAAAGAATATAGAAAAAAAGGAGAAGGAAGAACTTCTTACTTTTTGTTCCACTTACATTATTATACAGTTTCAACTCAAATTCTAAATTAATGAATCAAATCTATACACACTAGCATTCTAAAATTTGGGGTCAGTAAGATTAAAAGTTTTATCCAGAAAGGATGCATTAAATTGATCAAAAGTGACAGTACAGATACGCATAATGTCAAAAAAAGACTTCTATTTCCAAAAAAATGCTGTTCTATTCTAATAGCTCTTTTTAATATATATATATATATATATATATATATATAGAAAAGAAACAGCTATTTTAAATTGTAATAATACTCCACTAAATTACAGTTTTTTCCCCTAAATAAATGACCAAAAATGATGGTATCCATTTATCTCTTTGACCTATGTTACTTGGTGCAATAACTATTTACTGTGATTATTATTTATTAAAAAATGTAATCAGTAATTAATTATTTAACACGGGTATTTTTAAATCACTGCTGTAATTTGATCAAATATGATCTTTTATGTGTTAAGGTAAAAATAAGGTAATTTTTGCATTGGATTATTTGCGTTATCACTGTACAAAGCAAAAGCTGCAAACGCTTAATAAATGTTGTTTGTCATGCACTGTAAAAAATATATATATCAAAGATTATTGGTCTTTCTACTTCAATTTTTTTTGTGTTTAACCCAATGTATTGCTTGCTGTTTCTTTGTAATTATTCGTGAAATTTACAAGCAATTTCTGAGTGAAAATTGATTCTACACTAAGAGTTAAGATATTCAGAAAGCTGTATAAATGCATAGCTACAATGCACAAAACTCATTAATAATGCCTTTCTTTATGCATAATTAGACTTCCATAAACTCATTTAGGTGCATTTCCATTAACAGCCTTCTGTATAAACCTGTGTGTCATCCACATGAGTCCCCCACGCACACGCACACGCACTTTACCCGTATGATGGAGTTCATCTCTGGTGGGGTGACCTGTTTGGCTCTCTCTATCGCCCCCAGAACCTGCTGCTGGTGCTGAAAAAAATAAATAAAATCTGAATCACAATCACATCTCGTGCTATACACTCACATTAAAATCAGACTAACTGTGAGTGTTTCAGACAGAAGTATAATGCTATAAACTAAATGATGAGGTAGCGCTGCCATCTCTCTGTACCTCTTGAGACAGGTAAGGCAAGACTTGAGCACAGATCCCATTTAATCTCTTCACGATCTCTGCCTGCAGGGAGGGAGGGAGAAACACACACACACGCTCAGCAAATTCTTTCACTTTTGTCACAAATGGCCCAGTTATTCAGCTCCAAAAATATAAACGAACACATTCCCGACTACGTAATTGACAGCAAAAATAAAAATTCAGAATAAAAAAATAAATTATAATAACGTATATATGGCTTGCCTTGATAACACTTTATGGCTCACAAGAAAATGTAATAAATAATTTGTTTTTGAATATCTTATTTTTAGCGCTATATACACACACACGCACACACATACACAATATTTAGGTAATAAAACTACAAAAAAAGAGATTGATATATAAATAAATATATAGAAATCTCATGTTAAGAAACGTGATTTTTCTGAGCACTGAAAAGCCTGCAAGAGCTTGAGAATTTTTGCGTGCAAAAAAACAAAAAAAACAAACATGCAGTGGGACAAAGAGAGAGGCAACAATAACCCTGTTTCAATTGCCTGCCATGCTGACACTTCTTACAGCATGCAGGAGAGAGAGAGAGAGAGAAAAAGTGACTGCATACCAAACACTGGCATGCCTTATTCTTTGCATTCATGCCCTGCATTTCTATTTCGCACACACTCTCCCATGGCTGGCTGACTTTTTAAAAAAAACATATTTCACCTGTGTCACATAAAGGGTCAGGGACTGATGAATTGTGTTCTCGAGACTGGCTGCAGCGGCGCAATGGCACGTGTTTAGATTTCGACGCCCAATTAACCACTAACTGTTCTGTAAATCAACACTTATTGGAGCATTTTTCATTTAGAGGGAGAAAAAAAACTATTCAAATACTCATTTATATATCGGCGATGCCAAAGATGAATTTTCAGCATCATTACTCAAGTCTTCAGTGTCATATGATCCTTCAGAAATCATTCTAATATGCTGAATTGCTGTTTGTAAATCATTGCCAAAGTTAAAAAAAAAAGTTTATTAAAAAGTTTATATAAATATTATTAGTAAATATTTTTGTGGAAATTATTTCAGGATTTTATGTTTGATGAACAGAAAGTTCAAAATAGAAATATTTTGTTACAATGCAGAAGTATTTTTTCAATCAAATCAATACATCCCTCTTGAATTAAATAATGAATTTCTTTGAAAAAAAATTACATTACACAAAATATTTTGCCACAAATAAAAATGTTTTTTTTTTTTTTTTGACAGAGCCATTAAAATTTTAAAAAAGGCAAGCCAAAAAACAAACAAACAAAAAAAAACTGTAAAAATTATTCATTTTTATTGACTATTTCAGTGTTTTTGTGTCCCATATTCATTTAAAAATCCCCCAGCTCCCAGCTACCACATAAATTGCAGATAGTATGCCGTGAATAAACCAGTTATCATAAATTATTAATGGGATAGTTCAGCCAAAAATGAAAATTCTGTCATTTACTCACCCTCATGTCGTTCCAAACCCGTACACTTTTGTTTCTCAATCAAAACACAAATGAGGTAATTTTAAATGTCAATGGAGGGATTTCAGTCCATTGAACAAAAACGTAAATTCAATCTGTTCATCATAGAAAGCGATTAGTCTCCTCAGAAATTTTAAACTAAACCACTTGATTCATATGGATTAATTATAATATGGATCTAATAATCTCTTATGATCTTTTCGAAGCGTCAAAGTGGTAGTTGCGAAGATTGTCAATGGAGGGACAGAAATCTCTCAGATTTGATTAAAAAAAATTGTGTTTTGAAGATGAATAAAAGTCTTACGGGTTTGGGACAACATGAGGGTTAGTAATTGGGTTAGTAACTGGCCCCCTACTGACACTTCTGTGTTTAGACAGTCTTAAACTAAAAGCACCAGCATTCAATAACATTGAGCAACAGTGATGAAGATGAACATCTTATGCTACGTTCACACCGGACGCGAATAGCGCATCAAATTCGTGTCTACTACGTCTAGTTTGACGCTTGACCACTTAGTGTTAATCTGCGCGTCAGTTTCGCGTAAAATCAAAAGTTTTAAGCGAAATTTCTGCGCGGCAAAATCAAAACCCATTGGCGGCCATCTTTTTTATGTTGATCGAGCATTCATCGAGAGATTCACCGCACTGTATTTGTTCTGGAGAGCTAGAACAGCGGCGTGGGGATCAACCGTTTGGCGAGTTTCACCAATTGCTCACTCCAGGAGCTGCGCCGCTGTCAGTGGTACTTCCGCCTGTCCGGCTTCGAGTTTGATAACCCGTTGTCCCGCATCCGAGGATCACCCTCGCCCTCATCCATCTAATCTAGCTGTCATTTATTTTTGTTTTGATGATAAATAGAGACAGCCTCCAAAAGTTATTAACCTGTCCAGTGATTTTTTTTCTTTCTCACATCCAGACACGAACTTGTACACATGTTGGTTGTCACTTCATAATAATATTTCATATAATCTAGATATGGAATGAATAACATTCAATACAAAATGAACATGTCTCGTATATCGAAATAAAGTTTGAAGTGATCAAATATTTGCTTTGTTGTGCATAAGAATCCCACTATACATTTAGTCATATTACAAAATAATGTATTGAAGCAACCAGACACTTCACCGTGTGAGCAAGCAGCTAGGCTCCTGATTGGTTAACGCGGTGCGAATTGACGGCAAAGTTCAGATTTTTCAACTCGAGCGGCAGACGCGAATTCGCGTCAAACGCGTGAATGCACAAATGGCACTAACTAAATCAATCGCGCTTAATGCGCCAGACGCTCAATTCACGCGAACTTGACGTGCGAATGAGGTGTATTCGCGTCTTCCGCGCCACGCTCTACGCCTTATTCGCGGTGCAGGAATTTTTGGCGCGCTTAACACATCTTTGCATTGACTTAAGATTGAAATCATTTGCGCCTGACGCGCTATTCGCGTCCGGTGTGAACGCACCATTAGAGTGTAAACTGGATTGGTTTCATCAGATTAGACGTAGAAGCAACAAACTTACCTGCTTGTGCATTTCGATATTCAGCCCATAGGACATCTCATAGTACTGCAAAGAAATAAAGTCAAACATTAACATTTTTAGTATTACAGCACTGAACATCTAGAACCCCAGTGTAACATGTGCAGGCATACTGGTGCGTACTACATGCGAAAGTGTTAGCCTCGCTCATCATCCACACATCAACGAGCAGCGTAACACAACCTCTGCAGCTAAACAAGACTGGGGAGCATCAGTGATGGAGCCAGAGTTGGTTCAGGGTCGGCTTTGCCAAGCAGCAGTAGGTCCCTAAAGCAATTACCACCCACGCAAGGCGGACGCCCACCCTCCCCATCTTCCAGCGGGTGCGGACAGAGCGCGGGAACCCGATAGGCTATTAGAGGGAGGGAGGGCGCTCTGGCTGATGCGCGTGAGAGCAACGCCGCACAGATTAAATGAGATTAAGCCGCTCGACGGATCAATTAGAGGCGGAATATCAGACAGCAACACGAGGCCCGGGCCGGAGACAACGAGGTTAGAGTGGAGGGAAGGGAGGGAGGGAATATCATCGGGGGGATGGATGAGAAAAGAGAGAGCAGAGTATGGACAAAAGAAGGAATGGCAGACAAGGTAAAAGGAGGGGATTGGGGGTGGAAGACTAGAGAGTAGAGGAAGACAAAGCATACATGATGCCTGAAGATCACAGCCAGATTCAACATGAACGCTTTTTGAGCCAAGTGGATTTTTAATGCAACTTCTTAATTTTTTTTACTTGCATTCTAGAAAATTAAGTTGCACAATTAGTGAAAGTAAAATATTTATTAAAATATAAATTGATTATTGAATAATTAAATAAAAAATATATTATAAAAAGGTTCATAAACACACATAAAATAAATATACATGCATAATATCTAAACAAATAAATATCTAATATTCAAAAACAAGTTAATATATAAGAATGAGAACATATTTATATACATATATATATGTGTGTGTGTGTGTGTGTATATATATATATATATATATATATACACACACCGCTAAGTTGTACCTAATATAACATAATAGATTAATAATATAAACACATATTTATACCACATAAGAACCACTAAGCTGAAAAAGCTATAATATAATAGTTGAGTTGTTTGTTAATAAATAAATATACATTATACAAGAACTGCTAAGTTGCTTGTAAATAAGTAAATAGATGTATAATAGATGAAAATAGATGTAGAATATATAACAAAACTTTTAAATAATGTGGCTTTTCTTATATTAAGAATCTTGAAATATATATATATATATATTATATATATGAAATATATAAATATATATATATAGACCATTTCACAAGATGTAAACAACACTGGTCCAGAAGCACTTCCTGTTTCAGTTTGTAACTGTTTTCTTTATTTCACATGTAAAGAAAACATCTTAAAGATGTTTGTTTAAGTTTTTGATTCAGTTTTAAATGTTCTGTTGGTTGTATTTTATCCCAGCTTTTATGTAGTGTTAAAAAAACTGAAACAGGAAGTGCTTCCGGACCAGTGTTGTTTACATCTTGTGAAATGGTCTATATATATATATATATATATATATATATATATATGAAGAGTTCAGATGCAAAAGCCTCTAAGTGCCATTTGAAATTTTCTTCTAGAATGATCATTTTTATCAAGCTTGTATATTTAAGTTCAATAATTTCACTTAAATTGCAATGAGGATTACCTATTAATTGTTATTTAAGTGAAATTACTGAACTTGAATATACAAGCTTGATAAAAATTATCATTTTAGAAGAAAATTTCAAATGGCATTTAGAGGCTTTTGCATCTGAACTCTTCATATATACTGTTGTTTGTAAAGAAAAGAAATTAAATATATAATCAATGTTCCTACACATTTTCCATTTCAAAATTCCATACTTTTCCAAACTGCATAGGAACCCTGAATATACTAATCTTATAAGAATATAAGAACAATCAAGCTGAAAATTAATAAAATCATTAATGAACTGCCAAGTTGTCAATAGATAAACAATATAATATAATATAATATAATATTTCCTTTAGTCAAGTCTAATCTCATCTATGATACCAAGTAGGTCAGGTATGCCACTGGCGTCCCCTCAAAAGAGAGGTGCATGATGCCTCTGGGTGGACAGGAGGAAGAGAATGTTAATAGAGCAGCAGAAAAGACAGTGTTGAGGCAGACAGAGAATAAGACACAATGAAATCCGACAGGTGAGGGCTAGGTGAGTTTCTTGTGGATGTGAATATGTTCCGGCACATCTAGCCTAAGGCGCATCCCTCTGGAGGAGAGGGCGTTCTGTGCAGACTTACCATGATATAATGACGTTGCATTTCTGACTTCTCACTGGCCAGCTTGTCACATTCGAGCTTCAGACTGAAAAGAGGAGAAAAAAAAAAAAAGACTGGTCAATAAAAAAAGAACAGACACCGACTAGACATATATTATGCAACAGATCAGTTGAAGAGTTCAGACTGCTTCAGAGACTTTTCTGACTTTTTCCACATTCTTTTGGCAGAGTCGGTAGATGGGAGAGAAATTGAGTGCAAATAGTCAGCTAAAAACGCTCTATGGCAGCAATATCATTTAGGAAAACCACTCATTAAATGTTACAGATGTCAGAAAACTAGCCAATCAGATTCAGAGAAGCTCTCTGCCCACAGTATTTAACAGTAGCATTCAAGTAAGAAATTGAATACAATTTTTTTTTTTTAAATAAAACACGACAGACTTTACTGTATAAATGATACATTGATTGTTATTAAAGCTACAGAAGTTTTTTTAAACATTAATGACAAATGGTAGCTGGTATATTAAGCTGCTGTCACTTTAAGACCGAATGCACAGATCTATTATACAGATACGCATCTGATTTTCTCCAAATTGTTTATGGTCACTTAAGACATTTAGGTAAATCTGGTGTGTATTTGACAGTTTAAGCGCAATACGATGTGAAAGAGAACACACGAGCTGTGTGATAGGCTTTTAGTGTGTGCACAGAACACAATGCGATTAAAATGTTTAACTAGCAAGTAGGGGTGTAACGGTACATGTATTCGTATTGAACCGTTTCGGTTCGAGGCTTCCGGTTCGGTACGCATACAAACCGAACGATTGCTTGGACCATTTTTCCTGCCGGCAAAATTCGTGCTGACGCGGCCAACACAACATTGCGCAACATCCAAATGGCAAGGGTAATGAATGCAGAACGAAACTGCGCTCCTCGTTATGTGCTTCACGGATCGTTTATCAGTTCGGACCAGCAACATCTGTGCAGCGCGAGCCGATCTCGATCAAGCAACACTGTTAACACACCGCGCTAAGAGATCCGGTAAAGAAAACATTTGAATTCGCCACTGAGGTAATAACATCGCTGCGAGATCTAGTGAGATGCATTCACATTTCTCCGTTATTAACCGTAGATCTCTATTAGATCAAACAGCGCTGTCATGGAAACCAGGAGAAACATTGTGCCGTGAATGAACTAGTAATACTTTACGTCCACAGACCAGCAACATTCACCATGGATTTAATATAGTAACACTAACTGTAACCAGTTTGGCTGGAATGGTGAAATGCTTTCAAGTACTTCACACATCTTTTTTTCAGCACTTCAAAATTCAAATATTATATAAATAAATATATATTTAAATGTTATTTTTAATGTGATGACCAAAACATTATTTGTTCATCCTTCAAAGATGACCCCTATTTATAAACCTGAAAGTTTCAAGATCTAGGAAAACTCACACTTATTTAAAAATATTTTTTCTTTAAACAAATAGAAAATTTCTCTGGCATTTCTTTCTTTTTGCTGTATCGAAAACGTACCGAACCGTGACTTTAAAACCGAGGTACGTACCGAACCGTGATTTTTGTGTACCGTTACACCCCTACTAGCAAGACTTTAAAACGCCAGAACTGCCAGCTTGAGCACTGTAGCATGATACCATGATATTTTGAGTTAAGTTGATTTTTTGGATGCAAAAATTTACATTTTGTTCAATTTAGTTGTGGCATATTGAGGGAAAAAAAAATGGCAGGAACTGGTTTATCACACCACACAAAGTGGAACCAAACTGGAACCAGAATTCCCCAACATGCACCATGGCTCGATGTGATGTCAGCATGTGTGCAAACCACTTGGCCGAGACTCCTTTCAAGACACATTTAATTTCTTACGCTCAAAAAACAAAGTGAACTAGTAATTCCATGTGGAAAAAAATGGGATTGGGAAAGAGAAAGCATCTGATCTAAATACAAATAAAGTGACACGACATCCTAGAGGTTTTTGTTTCGTTGGCGTATGACAAGCATTTTGTCTCTTCATACCTCTTCAGTCTGCTGCTTCCACTTATCCCAAAAAAGGGGTAAAAAAAAATTGGGCTGTTATGACTGTGTAACATATATTGGGGGTTGTCATGGTGACCATCCTCCCTGCTGCCAGGCTACCTGTGATTGGCCATGCCAGCCACTGATTGGCCGAGACCTCCTGAAGGTTCCAAAGATGCTCTCGTAGAAAAAAAAAAAAGAAGCCAAAAAACGACACATTGATGGAGTTTTATTGCCGTTTCTTTCCGCCTCCAAATCGCTCCTGCTGTCATCCTTATTTTGATTTATGTATTCCCTGATCTATTTATGCATTTGTAGAAGGGAGCGACAGCTCGGCGAGGCTCTGGGGACCGCCTGCAGTACATTTCCTTTTTTTAAAACCAAAAAAGCCCTTGTCTGTTGAATCTCAATTGAAGTCAATGGTGGTGAATCCATGCTCTGAATACACATACAACAACGTAGGGCTTATTCTTCTGTGAACCAGGGTTAAATGAGGGTTTGCTCGTTGTCATGGGAATAGGGAGGGAAAGACATGTTGCCTTAAAGACGGGACAGTAGCAGCATCTTTGTGTCTTTAAAGAGTCAAGGCATCAGACGGATCAGATCATAGTAGCCGCTCCGTGTTAATCGGCATGGGAATGAGACACAAGGGGAAGCTTGTTAAAAGTGATAAAAAAATATGCCGGCTAATGGTGAATTTAGTCACACTGCCTTGTAGAGGACCGCCCTAAAGAAACGGTAAAAAAGAAATGTTGTTTTGAACCCAATTGGCTTGCTTTCTTCTGTGAAACTTTTGATAATGTGAATAGAGTAGTCTGATTCAAGAACAAATTACTCTTATGAACTGGTTTCTTATAAGGAATTGGTGATTCCTTCACAGAATTAACTCCCGAATCAATCAGAGGAGCGACCGAATTAACATCTGACTCGTTCACACACACAAGTCATTACTTTTTGACTCGCAAGGTTCTGGTTGCTCTGTTCTGCTTGACGCTACAGGTGTAAAAAGGGTCTAAAACGTTTAGAGTTTGTCCACTTTCGACCACTTCCAAAGGTAGCATACCTAAGTTACTAACACTCACAGCCGGCAGCGCTGACAATAGCCTCGTTGCACATTAAAATGGAAGATTTGACAAAAGGTAAGGTGTTGCACTTGCAAGTGTGTGCGCATACCTGTGGTATTGTGCTTGAAGGAACTGGAACTCGTCCTTGATGCGGTCGCACGAGTCGGACGTTGTGAACTTCAGCTGCTGCGATGAAGCCTGGAACGAAAGCAATTTACGGCGGTCAATTGCATTATTCAGAAAGCCTGAGTCGCAGCATCCTCTGGGCATCCAGGGGACGGAGCATCACAGCGGTTTCAATGCCAAGAACAGAGAATTCCGGCCAAAACAGATGCAGCTTTCTAAACAGGAAATTTTGTAATCAAGAGTGAATTCAAGTGAACTGTAGAAAAAGCAGCAAATAAAATCTCACAGGGCTTATTGCGATATTCAAAACTCATCATTTAGAAGGCGTCAGTCATGTCTGGAGCTCGACATCAACCAAGGTTTTTGGATTACATGTATTCGGCTTGCAGGTGAGCTTATTTCCCTAGTGTGGAGGCCACACCTGCAGGGAAAATGCAGATGTTATTGGAACCATTTTGCGCTTTTCAGGGCAGATTTTTCCTAGACTTGGTGATATGTTGGCGGTTTTCCCAATAAGCAACTGCCACACTTGAATTTTGATGAATGCAGCCCTTCCAGCTGTAATTCTAGTAATGCTGCTATTACCAATGTTTCAGATTCTGACTATTGAAAATGTTGGTCATTTTGACTACTTTGGTACGTGACAGTAGAATGAACTGTTCTCTGGGTAGAATGGGTTGACGATGAGCAATATATACATATTTGTTTACCAGTCCATATAGACACGAGTCAAATGAATGTGAATCTTTGGTGAATTAATGTGAATGACTCACTTACTGAACCACAAGTCATTAATCTCAGACTCAATACGAAACAAATTTTCGCAAAACCTGAATTATAAACAAAACATCCTGTGGACTTGGTATATTAAGTTTAATTAAAATATATGTCAAGAGGGATTTCATTTAACAATAACTTTGCAGAAAATTCTAAATAAATTATAGACAAAAAAATGGAAATATAGGAGGTAGGGCTATACATTGTAGGGCTTGACTAGGATTAAGGGGGTAAAAAAAGCCGAGCCCTTAACGCCTCCACACAAGCGTGAGTCTCTGCGATCGCCGTTGTGCTATTCTGTGAAACGACAGGGGGCGATCTGGAGTAATTCTCCTCTAAACCACCAAGAATCAGCAGTTTGGCGTTTATTAATAGTTTATTTAATTACTAATTCACAAAAGAGTAAATGCAGTAGGTTTATTGTAGCCTACTTTCACTGCATGTAAACTATAAACAACTGAAGCCTTAATGGAGAGTGTTTAAACCTCAATTTCACCAGCAGGGCTGACTTCTGCTAATGGAGGCTTATTTTGTAAATGTAATCAATTACTTTAGACAAGTGCAAACTAGGTGCTTAATGCAAATGTGTTCCTGTTCACAAAATGAGATGTTATGGTTACCCATGAATGCAAATGTCTTTGTATATAGAATGATCATATCCAGTTCGTCCAGATTCGGCCAAGTCGTTCATCTTCGGATGCAGCGCCGAGCGATGTTATAAAAAGTGTCGTGCACAGCACCAGGCGAAATGTGGTCTTGGGCGCACGACCGCCCACCCCCCAACGACGTCATTTTTGCCGCACGCACCTTCGCGCTCTTGCGGACGCGTCGAGTATAAACATGGCTTGAGGGTTCCAAAGTTACGACCCAAAACGCAAATCACCTTATTATAGTGCCACCTAGTGTCAGACGGTTGTGTGTTTGTGCGCCAAGATTATAACCAGTCTCTGCGATTTGAGGTCTCGAAGAAGAAGACGAAGAAGAAAATCAGTACAAACACAAAAATAATAATTATGCTTTCATGTTTGATCTTGTGGTCCTACAAGTAAAAAGATGCAAGAAAACTAAATTCAGACACTAGTCTTCATCAGCATGCTGGACTTGGTTGGGTTTTATTTGATGCTCTGATCTTTCCTGAACAATCAAGCAGTTCATTCAAGTCATTTTCAAAATTGCCAACCCGTTCTTGACTCCTTTCGAGGGTTTGCGTTTTTTCCGTTTCAAAAATCCCGAGCCACTCTGCAGGCGACGCTCGGCGGATGAAATTCTTGAAACCCATGGTACGAGCGGACCAACCTTTAACACAAACTGTGTACTTAGCCCGAGCGCTCTGTGCTCCACTGCATATGAAAGAGAGGCTTGTGTCAACAGCGAGCACTAAGTGCCCAAACAGTCAATCTTTTTCAGACGCCGCTAACAGTAGTCCTCACATTTCTGCGTGACCACTGGAGATTCAGTTTCCTTAGGGAATGCTGGGGGAATGGGGCCGATTGGGAAAGTTTGAGTCGATAGCGCCTGCTGGAGTGTCCGGGGACGGGGAGATCACGGGTGTTACGTACGCACAATACTCGCTTTCAACAGAGGCCATTGCTGACCTGCTTCTACACCATAACGTCATCCATGTGGTTTAAGCAGGCACTGAACAGTGTTAGCTGTGTGCTAAGCAAAGAGAGGACTTTAAACTGGTCTTTAATACATTAATACAAGTGTGTTGAAACAGATTTACACATGCTGTGTGAATGAAAACGTGCGTTAGAGTCCTAAAGAAATAAATACTGAGCAGAATATTGTTTCTTTTTTATACTGACTGACCTTTGCGACTTTGACATTTAAGTGATGCGTTTATTCAAAGCAACTTCAAGTACACTTACAAAGTCAATCTTTCTATTAAGTATCCTGGAGTTAAATGCCTGGCCCAAGCATGCAATGATGATTTAGCTACATTTACAGAAACGTAGTCTCTTAAAAATGTAATATTTTACCTTAAATGTAAGCTTTAGCAATTAAATAGCTAAATCAAAATCAAGTTAATAATGACGTCCAAGTTAATTTGTAGCATTTTAAAGAAATAGAAGTGTTTTATTTATTTCTCGTTCTTTTTTTTGTGTGCAAAAAAGCATCAAATTTCAGTATCAATACCATAATACCAATTTACCTTAAGTGTCAAACTTAAGTGATCATGTGCATTAGCATGTACTGGTAAAATATTTTTTAACGTGTGATTTGAGCTAAAGAATCACAATTTATGAGACCATTGTTGTTAGATTTTAGTGCAAATTTAAAATATGTTATTCAATCAAACATTTCAAACAGGAGATTTCTGTCGTTTCCCATTCAAGCACACTGTAAAAAAAAATTGTTGGTTTAACTTAAAGTAAGTAACCTGGTTGCCTTAAAATTTTAAGTTCATTGAAATGGAAAAAGCAAGTTAATACAAAGAAGGAGAATGATTTAATCATCAGAAACTCAAAATGATATGTAATCTGAGCTAAATAAATTATTTAAGTTGATTGTAAAAAAAAATCTTTTCATTTTTTCTTTTGTGAAGAGTAGATATGAGCTGTACATGTAGAACTGGAATTAGCATCTCAGAAACCTTTCAAAAATACCCACTGAGTGATCTGACTTTTACAAAATGACTCATGGCTCTTCTCCACCAGTTGAGCTACAGATTCGGTTCTTGAATCACATCTTACTTGCAACCTTTTGGTTAACAGGTCAAATCTTTAACCGCCAAGTTACACCAGCCTTAATGAAGCGATGGAAACCTTCAAGGTTGCGAAGCTTAGTCTAATGATTTTAAGCTTTAGAGCAAATCTCATATTCACTTAAAAAAAGAAAACCACACACAGACGGCACTCATGCAGCACAAGAGCCAAAATATGGGACAATCCCTAATTTGACTCTGCCTCTGTGCGCTTCTCCTTTGAGATGCAATTAAACCATTAAAAGGCTTTATACGCTGGTGGGCAAATTGTGAGTCTTCTGTGGCTAAATGGGATTCATCATTCCCGTAATTTACAGTTGTGCCTCCCACCCCACCGTTTAACAGAAAAAGAAATGTTCTAGAAAAATCTTTCAACTCTAACGTTGGCAGTTTTTTTTCCCCCATCCCAAGGGATTACATACAAAAGACCCAGATGTAGTTATCTGAAGAGGAGAAGAGAGTTTTTATACTTGAATTACAGCGAGTAGTTCGGTGAAACCGGCAAACCAAGAAGCACTAGGATAACTACAGCCAAATCCTCAACCCAGTCTTCCTGTAACTGATGCTATGTTTGGAATATCATTCTACTTATATATAGTATGTATACCACGCAGAGTATACATACAGAACACCCAGTGGACTATAACATTAGTCAAAATGTCAAGTAAACAATGCAGGCTGTGAGGAATACAGTATCCCACAATGCAATGGGCTCAATTTAATTAGAACTTCAATTTCTTGATATTAATAATTATTTGACCAAACAGTCCAGACTAGTATAAGGCTATGTTCACAGTCACACTGTCAGTCCAAATCGGATAATTTGTGTATCCGATTGGAATGTAATCTGAAATTATTGACTGCCCACATTGTGTATCGCAACTTGTAAGCAACTGTTTTGATCCAATTTGACCCATGCTGTCCTTTTATTTTCCGGAATATCTGCTTTGGTTTCTATGGCAATGACATTGCGTTGGTGGTCGGTATACGCCAAAAACAACAACCACCACAACATTAAGGGGTTGGCAATACAAATATTGTCTTATTTACAACATGACAGTGTGTCGCCACCGCAGTGGCAGCAGCACAACTGTAGGTCAAACACGTTTCCTATATCATCATTTTCTGCTCGTCCGGCACTTTGTAACAACACAACCTTCTTTCTGCAGCAACTTTCAGTATGTTTCCTATCACAACGTCTGACTTTACATTTTGCGGGAGGTGAGAAAAATCACAAACCATGAAAATCCGATCAGAGCAGTCAGACTGAAACGGATTTTCAAAAAAGCGATTTGAATAGGATTTCAAACCTCTGAACCTTATGAAATGTAGCTCGAAACAGATTAGCAAAAATCATATTTCATGTGATTTTTTGCCGTTTACTAAATCTGATCGATCAAAATCTAGTTTACTAAATCTGATGCATTGGATTCACACAAAATTAGATTTGGCCTAATAGCGTAAAAGTAGTACAGATAGAGGAGGGGCTGATTGTGTATGTAGTGTAGCCTATTTATTGCACCAAAAAGTCAATTTACCAATAATAAAGCACAATTTGACCCATAAACACATACTAAACAGTAAAGCA